GTTGCTGTTAAGGAACTCAAATTGAGTTACTCTGATAAGGAAACCACATTATTTTACTATATCCCAAATTTATGGTAAGTAAAGCCCTTAAATCTGTATAGCCACATCATGGTAATTGAAACCCACCACCTTATACCTATATATATACACACCTATGTTATAGTAACTTAATTGAAGTTCCTTAACAGCAACCCAGGAAGTGGCAGACTCTGTGACGAAGCTGCCTTGCTGCGAGCCGGCAGAGGCGATCAAGCTTTGGACTAAGGGTTTAGGGATTATAGGGGTAGATAAGGATACTTAGGACAGATATACATCGTGTTATACGGATTATGGAGGTACAACAGGAGATATAGGGTTATATAGAACTGAGGGATAAAATAGTCTAATAGTGGAGAATCAAGAGGAACGTAAAATTTGGCGCTTCTGTCTTTTTAGCTTCTTGAGCACGGAGCATTGCTCACGGCAGCTTACTTGATCGCCTTTGCAAATGCTAAAGTATGCCTCTGTGCGCAGCGTTGGCTTCTAAATGCAGGCTGCTCCATCATCGGGTTTGCCATGCAATGCAGTATTGACCTAGGCCAAGACTCGCACAGCACGAACGCACTTGAGATCCCAAATTCTGCACATGCTACCTGCATGCACCCACTGACACCTTACTGGTGCTAATGGGAGAGTGGGAGTGAATTCTTTTTAACAAGCTCTATCTAATCCCCATCATAACCCTTCCATTGTCCCTCCCCTTTAGTCACTGTTAAGGCACATAGATAAATGCGGTAACGAGCGGAGCACAGCTTATGGGTGTCATGCCATGCTACTGTATGGGGTTTCCTAAGATTAGGGTTACCATTTTGGGGGTCCCCATCTCAAATAGATCATAGTACCTTGGGTCTATATAATTAGGGGAGACTATCGTATTCAGAATAACCCTCAGACTCATAAAGTGCACCAGGCACTTAACACGTTGTAGCCCATTAATAATAAACTCTAACATGCTGGAAACATGCGAGTTTAGTAGCACCAGCTCCTACCCTAAACCCTAAATCCTAAAAACCCAAGCCCCTAAACCCTAGATCCTAGATCCTAAGCCCTAAGGCCTAAACCCTAAGCCCTATCTCCCAAACTCTAAACCCTAAACCCAGCTTGTTGCCAAAGTTGCCATGGAGCCGGGCAGTGTCAGGGGGGATGAGCTGCACTGATGAACAGGAGATCGAGGAGGTATGGGCCAAGGGTTTTGGATTTAGGATTTGGGTTTAGGATTTTGGGTTTAGGATTTAGGGTTCAGGATTTAGGCTTTAGGATTTTGGTTTTGGGTTTTAGGGTTTAGGATCTTGGGTTTAGGATTTTGGTTTGAGGGTTTAGGGCTTAGGGCCAGGATTCCAAGTTCAAAGAGGGAAAAGCGTCGTCATGATCACAGAGGAATGATATTTATCATTCGTATTTTTGTTACTGATTCGTTGTACTAATTTTGTATTATTACTAATTGTATTATTACTACTACTACCACCACAAGTATTTTTGTTGTCGTTTGCTACGAATTACTGATCATTACTGTTACTGCTAAGATTACGTCCCCCACCCTGTAATAGTGGTATAATAAGACTATAAGAGGACCCTCATACAATCCCTATTATCCCCTACAGTCACTATTACTGGGTGGGGGTTTCACCTAAACTATAACATGTGATGGAAACACGCAGCCCTCTTGCAGAGGTCCAGCGTGAGGCGGAGCGCCACCGCCGAGCGGCAGAACAGGCCTGGAGCCGCTTGCTGATTCGCATGATGCGGTTTAGGGTTTGGGGTTTAGGTTTTGGGGAGGGGTTTAGGGGTTTATAGGGTTTCGGGGTTTAGGGTTTAGGGTTCAGATGCAAAGAAGTATAGGCTTTAGGGCTTAAGCGACTTGATGGATCTTGCATGACCCTAGCTTGTCCACTCGGCTCGTGCCTCTTAGACCGGGATTTAAGGACAATGTAAACCCGTGAGTAATAAACCCCTCTCCTTTCAAGGACCTTCATTTAGGATCCCGAATATGATCCTTGTTAAGGGGAGGGGCGTTATTGATCACGGTCCTACATTAAACGGTGGCGTTTGCAGCATGGAAGGCCCTACGCCGAATCGAAGAGCAAGAAAAGGCCCGCCTTCAGCAGTTGAGCCATCGTCTAAACTCCTTTGACTGGTCATACATGGGATTATATAGGGTTCAGGGCTTAAACTCCTCAAAGGAGGTTATATGGGGGATTGCATAGGGTTCAGGGCTCAGGGGCTAAAATCCTTAGACGGGGTTTATATAGGGGATTATATGCGGGAGTATTATTAGGGTTTTTAAGGGGGATACTGGGAGTTTAGACCATAGCTCAGTTTGCCAAACAGATGTCTGACACTGGTTCAGACTGGAAGGAGCTGGGCCAATTGGAGGACCATATAGCAGGCGCGACGGGCTGGAAGGCATTAGTTGGTTACTGCCCGCACTCAATAACAGTAGCTCAATAACTATATGGGTGGTTGTCAAAACTATGGTCCCTTGTTTGATCCCTACTATAAGACGGCACCTAATATTTAGGGGTACCCAAAAAGGGATCATAATCTTGACAACCACACATATCATAATCATATCCAGCCCTTCATTCTCCCCATGATACTCTGGGGTCCGTACCCAAGCCACAAGTTTGGTGATTACTTCGGCTGTGCTTCAAGTTCTCCTTAGTATTGCTAATTGGTAGTTTACCGAAAAGGGCGTGTGGAGACTTTTAAAGGGGGCCTACTATGATACCGATCGATTCCTGCTCTAAACTTTACGTCTAAGCAGTAATTCAAGTGACCAACATGCTATTGCAGTAATTGCCAACCTTTTTTCTACTCCTTGAACCCTGAGCCGTGAACAGTTTCTAGTAGTTTCTGTTTTCCTTTTCGTTCCTACAACCCTGAATCCTTGTCAATTTGCAATGCTGTCCACTTTCTTGTCCATTTCTGGAGCCCTAAGCCGCAAATCGCTGGTATTAGTTTCCTTTTTCTTCCATCTCTCAAACCCTACATGCCCTAAACGATGTCTAGTTTCAATTTTCTTTCCGACTCCTGAAGCCGTACATCCCAAAGACCTTTGTAGTTATTAGCTTCCTTTTCCTCTCCATCCCTTAGGCCCTGAACCTGTAGCAGTTTCCCTAGAAACCCCCAACAATGAATGTTCTTTTTCATTTCTTACTTGACTTTTGGGAAGGCCGCCCCTACAGTGGATTCCCGTGAATCTTCAGCTGCCATTGCATGTCCCCTTTGCTTTTCCATTCGAGTTGTCCACTCCTAACGTGACTTCGGGGAGGCCTAAGGTCTAAACCCCATAGAAAGAATGTTCCGTTATTCACTACTAAGTCTCAGTTTAGGTTTCCATTTGCTTTTCCATTCCTAACCATTCCTTGGAAAAAAGACCCTTAAACCCTAAAACACAACCCTCAACCCTTAAAACCCTGAACCCCTAAACCCTTACACCCAAAACTCCACACCATACGGGAAGGCCTTGAGGAGCAGCTGGCCGCTTCGCAGAGCTCGGCGGCTCGCCAGGGCACAGAGTTGCGTGCTGCTCAAGACCAGGCCATTTCGGGGCTCGGGCTTAGGGTTTTGGGAGGGGTCTTTCAGACGGCGGCTTGGGACTGATATTGGGGATAATATAGGATAATGGAAAATCAAATGGAAACAACTATAGTATATTGGAGGGTATGTAAGGATAATGGAAAAGAAAATGGAAACTACAGCTTCTTTGGGTATGGTTGGAGAAACCAATTTGCCTTTGGCCGTGGATGATCAAGCTTTAGGGTGGGGGGGGGGGTTTACAGGGCCTCCGTGGCAGACAGACACTTGCTAAGCCTGAAATTCCTAAACAGCTGAACCCTAAACCCTGAACCCCAAACCCCGACCCTAAACCCCCTGGACCCCTACACGAAGGTAGCGGCGCTGGAGCGAGAGCTTCGCGAACTACGCGACTCGCACAGTGCAGCAGATGTGGAGCCTGAGAAAAGCTCCCCAAGCTGCTGGGCAAGACAGGGTTCGGGGTGCAGGGCGTTAGGGTTTAGGGGTTTAGGACCTAGGAGCTTAGGGTTGAGGGGTTTAGGGTTGGGGGTGAAGGGCGTTAGGGTGTAGGATTTTGGGGTTTATAGCTTATGTAGGCTGCCGTCATCTGCATGCTCCGCGGACAACACAGCAAAGCACTCTTCATAGAATGCATTCTCCTGAGGGAGAACCATCCTCCGGAGCAAAACGGAAATGAGCCAGGACAGATGCTTTGCAGCAGTTGCAGATCACATTTCCATCGTTAGACCCCTCCCTCCTTGGGACAGGAGGCCAGTGCAGGATATCGAGCAGCTGAAGCCTTGGAGGCCACAAAGCGCGAGCACGAGGAGGACGGACTTGACTGACAGGTCCCCCAAAGCCAGAATCGGGTAAGAATCCGGTCTAACGACTGCAGCAAGGCAGCCTTTGGTTTTTTGGCCAAACATGACATGCCTGTGATTGGTGCCATCTGTGATTCTGGCAGGCCATGAGGGCCAAGCAAGCGGAAGTGGACAAGCATCTGCGCACATTGGCATCGCTGCAGGCGGGGAGTGATCCTGGTGGTGATGCTCAATGTTGATGCTGACGCTTATCATGACGTGGAGTCACTTGCTCTGTGTTTGGTCATCATGCTGGCCACCGTGGCTGCTGCTGACGCTGCGGTCAGTAGCTAAATCAACCTATCAAATATTAGTAGACACGGCTGTGTCGTCAACGTCGCCGTTGTTGGAGTCAATGCTTATCTTGATGCGGTGTGGCATGCCATGGCATCCCTTTGATGCATGTGTGTTGGCGCGTTTGCTAGTTAGCTGTTTCGCCTGGTGGGCGGCGATGTTGATGACTGATGCTGATGATGGTCTTGATGATGTGGCTGCACTGCGCTCATATCTGGACTGAGGTGAGATGGGTGTAAGCGTGTGCATTTTGTCTTCCCAGCGCAGCGTGTTCCGAGCCAGGACCAGCATATGCAGCTACAGCAGCAGCCTGGCTGCGTTTGGTTCTATTCCCCGCACTTCTCGTCAGAGTATGCCCCGCAGCTGCAAAGGTACTGCGAGGATCTCCGAACTGCCTCGCAGGAGATCCAAGGCGACGCCAACCAAAGGGCTCACATTCCCAGAGCCCTAGGCATCCTGATGCTTTCCGGCAGGATTCCTCGATGTGGCAGAGTCGGAGAACAGTCAACTCCAGCAGGAAATCTCTGAGATGCAAGAGGTGATGGAAGCACATCACCTACAGAAGGCCAGCAAAGCTGCTTGCAATGTGGCGCCGTGGGACATTGGCTGTGCAGGCTTTGAAAGCCATTTCCGAGAAAAGAGGTTCTTTGCAGCTCACGGTCTTCGCTGAAGGCTGTCCGCACGTTGGGGTTCCCTTACAAATTCCCCAAGTCCCTGAACCCCAACATATTTTCCCCCTGAGTCATCCTGCACGTGGCTTCTGCAAGGTGACAGCCTGGCTCATGAACTCCAGCAGGAAGAGCCCCAGGAGGTGCTCCTTTGACAGATGTTAAAGACCTGCTCATTCAGTCAGATTATGTCAAGGAAGCCGATGCCCCGGTGCAGAATACGAGAAGCGTCAGCATTGCGGAGGAGCAGACATCACAACAGCGACAATCATCTCGATGACGATGGTCCAATCAGCAAATGTACAAGCAGTACGTGTTAAGCAAGTGGTTTTCTTACATGCAACGAAGTGCACAACCTGCCCGGAAGACTAGATGTAGATTTGCGTTTTAGGAAATTCAGGTAGCGCCTTCCTCCAGATGTTGTTTGGAAGTCCAGGGTCCTTGGCCACGTCTCCCTGCCATGCTTGCGTACCGCGTATCTGTTCTTCACTGTTTGTGGTGACACTGCTTTCAGGAGGAGCCTCCAAAGCTGCGGAAGAAACCCGCCTTCCGCAGAAGCAGCAGCCACCTCGACTGCATTCAGAGTCTACCTCCAAGGAAAGTTAGGTCAAGGGTTTGGAAACATACTTTCAGACGGCATGTACTTAGACCCTGATGCTTACACAGGTCATGGGTTCCCCTATTACTCCCCCCTACACTATCCCTCCCAAGCTTCCCCCTTAACTAACCTCAAGCCCTAAAAAGCCTGAAGGGGGTAGTATAGGGGGAGTAGGGGAATCCAGGAGCAGGGTTTGCCGGAGCTTCGGAGGTGTGAGAAGGAAGCATTTTTGGAATCGTACTTACCGCAGGCCATAAACAGCCTTGACTTGTCTTTGCCCCTTGTTATGCTGCGCATGAGGCGTTCTTTTTGGTTCCACTTGATTTCCCATGATTCGGAATTAAAATGTAAGCCCGAGATCCTGAACCCGGAGGAACGCTAAACCCTAAGCCTTAGTAGAGCCGCAGCTGCAATTTGTCTGAGGCAGCGTGGCAGCGAGCAAGCTAGCAGCCCTACAGGAGGAATACGAAGATAAGTTTGAGAGCCAGCCACCCGACTGCCATGAGAGTTTCTACAAGTCGGGGGCCTTTGGACCCTATACAAGGCGAACTTCCTGGTTTGTTTGTTGTACTAGGGAATAAGTGAATATCATCCCTATGTAATCCCTATAGAATACATTCCCTTATTCCCCATATGATCCCTCTATAATCCCTATATCTCTATATAGTATATTCCCTTATTCCCGACCAACCCCCAGTAAGAGAGGTATACTGAGATCAGTTTGAGATTCCCACTGAAGATGGTAGCTGTTGACAACCCAAGAGAGAAAAAAGGCATGTGGTCTTCGCAAGTTAAGCTGTGTTGCTGCTAAGGAACTTAAGTTAAGCTACCGGAATATGTGTGTATATAGACATGAATATGGTTTCCCCAATGTAGTAACTTGAATTATGTTCCATAACGGCAACCCAATAAGGAGCCAACAGCTGCAGATGGCTCTGCAGAACAAGGAGCGCATAGAGCGAGAGAAGCAGGAGGCCAAAAGCATGGAGACAATTTTTGGTAAAAGCCTAAAGCTGTAGTTGCTGGCGGTTAAAATAGGCCATTGAGGAATGGACTTCCTTCAAGATTCTATATGAGCTATAGTCTACACTCCTCAAAGGGGTAACATTGGGGATTATATAGGGGAGTATAACGGAGGTAATTACGGGGAATTTTCGGAGTTGGGACTATGGCCAGATTGACAGTAGACCAATTTCCTGAAATAAGGGACCCCATTGTAGACCTGCAAGTACAATCCCTGTAGGTACCCCAAAGCGTACCCCAATTTTGGGTAGCCCCCCCATTTAGGACTGACAATAACCGCTATAACCCGTATAGTAACCGTAAACATCCCCATCATTAATCTACTCAGTGAGTCCCCCTGACCCTAAACCCTAAACAATATGGTAGTTTCCATTTTCTTTTCCATTATTGCTATAAGTCCCCCAGGGTCAAAGGAGTGGAGGCGTGGACCTGTGCAGGCCATTGACTCTCTGCAGAAGCAGATTGAAGAGCTGAAAGGCCAGGCTGTGCACACGGCTTAGGGCTTTGGGGTTCTAGGGTTTTAGGGTTCTAGGGTTTAGAGTTCTAGGGTTTTTGGGGTTCAGGGCTGTGGGTTTTAGGGCTTAGAATTTAAGATTTAGGGTGCAATTTTCCCAACAGCTTTAGCTTTAGAGTTGGCCTGGGGGCAGATAAGAGCGGCCCTTGTTGCGGGTTCCGGAATGGGTTCCGGTGCTATTGAGCTATAGTCTAAACTTCTTAAAAGGGGTTATATAGGGGAGTATTATAGGGGTGATTAAGGGGGATACTAGGAGTTTAGACCATAGCTCATTGGGGATGGCTGGTATTTCCAAGATGGTCAGCCCCTGCTATACACCTCGAACATGCATAAGTCTGGATGTCCCCACATGGGAAACCTGTATTGCGGGAATCCCAACCCTAACTTCGACATTTCATCTTGTGCAGGTTTGAGTCTACATCCATATGACCTACTGGTACTTGAGAAGGAGTGGGAGCGAATATAGGTGCCACTATGGGCGCATGTGTAGGGGTTATTATAGTGTATTATAGGGATCCATTCCCCACTCTCTCTTAAGCACCAGCAAGATGAGGCAAGATGGGAGAGAGCGGTGGAGACGCTCTTGCTGGTCTTTTCAAGATGATGTCTCGCATCAAGGACTGCGCGCCACCGAGCTCTTCCGTGGAAGCGTAAGACAAGGGCTTTGGCTGACCCCAAGCTGTAAAATCACAACGGAATTCGAGCCATATGCTAGTTATAAGATGTTACATATAGGGGTTTTGGGGTTGGACTTTGGTTCGGGTTACTTAAGTCCCTTTATTAACGTGCTTGCAAGCAGACCATTGCTGCGAGGACTTGACCACGGAGGCCTCGGACGCGGTGCTTCTCGGCTTCGCGGCTCCAGAGGATGTACCTGGACTCTGGACCCCAAAAAATAAAAACTAATGGGCCAAAAAAACCATCTGGGTTGTCCTTTGAGATCTTTTTTTTTAAAAAAAATTCCTCTATTAACTTGTAGAGAACCATAATAGTAAGTTATTTTCAAAGGGCCCAAGGACAACCCAGCCTTTTCAAAAGCAATATAAGGGTAGTTCCCAAAACTAGGGTCCCATTTTGGTACTCCTGAATATGAGCAACCCATAAGGCTGTCGTTGCTCTACCAACTTTGTGGGGGCTCAGGTAGGGCCGCCGCCGGACGCAGCCAAAAAGCGCGAAGAGGCTGCACGCGCTGAGCAGGCGCTGAAGCCTCTTAGCTTGGCGAGGTACAGGAAAATGGGCTTAGGGCTTGGGGTTTAGGATGCTGTAGCTGTCTGCAAAGTTCTGCAGGACTACACTTGCAGCGCTGGGTATTGGGGTTCAGGGCGGTTTAGCTGAGGTTCAGCTCCGTTGCTGCAGTCAGTGACATGCCTGCACTGGACGGGTTCACCTTTTCCAGTCTATCCAGTCTATCTCTCTTCAAAACCTCAACTAGTTGAGTTGAATGCTCATCGCCCCCTTGCAGCCAGTAGTGCAGATGACTCCAACAAACAAGTTCTAGGATAGCAGTCCATACTATGGGGTCCCCTGTAATCGGCCCTGGAACGCCATAGATGTCCACGTATAGGCCGTGTATGCCCCATTTCCCCTCAGTTTCATAGCTGAGTCAGCAGTGCCACTGGTGTACTCGACTCACGAGCTGCCTTGTGGAGAGAGGGTTGTGCTGCTCATCGATAGGCGTATGCCCACTTGTATTGATGACGGGTTTCTGTCGGAGCTCTGACACAGCTTGTGCCATGAACCCTAGGACCAAAACATGGCAAGTTTTGCGGGTACAAGTCGGGGGCAGAAAGGGAATTGAAATTTCTCGAAACACTACCCTATAAGGCCCTATACATGGTCCACTATTGGGGTAAAATATCCCTATATAACCCCATACTGTGTTAACGCGTGAGGTGATGTTCGAAGCCGTCTCCAAGGAAGACGGCAGAAGAAGGCAGCTGGCGAAGCTGCGCCGTGACACATGCTGAGGCCATCGCTCCAAGAGCCAAGGCCCTTTAAGCCTCTTGTGGTTTGTAGGAAACGCAGGAAGGATGGGATATCAGGAGTACCTAAACACCAAAAGTATGTAAAATAGTAGCCGTAAACCCATAAAAACAGCCATAAAGGCCATTATTTTACATACTTTTGGGGTCCAGGTAGTACATGGTCTTATGTAGGGATTGCTGGAGTGATCCATTCCTGCATTTCCTACGAGCCACCAGTTGGTTGAAGCTGCTAATGTACATGGTAGTTTCCACAAATAGGGGGACCCCAAGACAGACCTGAAATATTTTCGTCCCTATTATTGAGACCCCAATAACATGGAACCCCTAATTTGGGGAAACCCTAATCCCTAAACCCTATATATCCCTATATAGTCACTATATATCCCCTATAACCCCCAAAAAGGTACCCCTAATTTTGGGAAACAGGATGTCCAGGAAGCCACACCCTTTTTCAGGCTGGTGGCTTACCGGCTTACCATTTTCCGCAAGGCACCAGGACTTGCACCGAAAAGTCTCCCGGAACGCTGCAGCTTGTCGTCAGGGTTCAGATGGGCATGGGGTTATATCCCAAATGATGGAGAATGAAATGGAAAATGGAACATGAAATGGAAACTATGGGTTTAAAAGGTGGTAATAAGGATTATCCAATGATACTCGTATTGGCTCATACCGAAATTCCGTGTCGGGATTGTGCAGGTCACGGACTCTTGTTTCGAATCTGACTTTTTTGGGGTCAGGTTGTTGGCATATTTTCTCGCAGAGAGGCATAAATCCATGCAAGCTTCAGGGAGGCTATTCCGCTGTGGGTATTGTTTTCGGACCAGCTAGATCCACAAGATTGGCTTTCCCTGTAATTTCGGCTCAGGGAACCGTGGCCTGCTTTGCTTTAATTAGGGGGCCCATCTGTTCACATGTATCGAAAACTTCTGCTAAAGAGTATGCTTTAGGTGGACCCACCACACTATATTCATGATTACAAGGGATAATAATATTGTCTTATATCCTATTATACCACTATTACAGAGTGGGGGGTCCTCCTAAGCATGCTGCCTTATTCTACCCTCGGCTTTACATGTTCCCATATGAGCTACGGTCAATATTCATCTTATTTAGGGACCATTTAACAGTGGACATGGAGGTCTCTCTTGTAGTTTAGTATA